AAACTTTTATTTTTAAACTTTTATTTTTAAACTTTTATTTTCAAACTTTTATTTTCAAACTTTTATTTTTAAACTTTTATTTTCAAACTTTTATTTTTAAACTTTTATTTTCAAACTTTTATTTTCAAACTTTTATTTTTAAACTTTTATTTTTAAACTTTTATTTTTAAACTTTTATTTTCAAACTTTTATTTTTAAACTTTTATTTTTAAACTTTTATTTTCAAACTTTTATTTTTAAACTTTTATTTTTAAACTTTTATTTTTAAACTTTTATTTTTAAACTTTTATTTTTAAACTTTTATTTTTAAACTTTTATTTTTAAACTTTTATTTTCAAACTTTTATTTTCAAACTTTTATTTTTAAACTTTTATTTTCAAACTTTTATTTTCAAACTTTTATTTTTAAACTTTTATTTTTAAACTTTTATTTTTAAACTTTTATTTTCAAACTTTTATTTTTAAACTTTTATTTTTAAACTTTTATTTTTAAACTTTTATTTTCAAACTTTTATTTTCAAACTTTTATTTTTAAACTTTTATTTTTAAACTTTTATTTTTAAACTTTTATTTTCAAACTTTTATTTTCAAACTTTTATTTTCAAACTTTTATTTTTAAACTTTTATTTTCAAACTTTTATTTTCAAACTTTTATTTTCAAACTTGAACAGGAATATAAAGTCTGGACAAGAGTATTAGCGTATAAATAAATAAATAAATAAGGGAGTACATTTATTATGCTGAGGGGTGGGAGAGGGGGGTGAAGATGTTAAGGGGGGCATCGAAATATTCTCTGGCAATCTGGCATTAAACGGGGGGCTCGATATACTGACGGTGGGGGGGGGGGAGCTCTAAACTTTTCAAAGTTTTGGTCCAGCAGGGGTCTGGAGTGTTCACTCCCACATAGTTAATGGAATAGATGGTTTGAAAACTCCCCCTACTGTGAAATTCAGGCAAATATATGTAAAATTCAAGTTAAAATTTTGACATTTTCAGGTAAAATTTGCGTAATAAAGTAATTATTTTTGTGAAATGATAACCATTTTTGTAAAATACAGTCAATTTGCATGAAATTTGTTTGCGAATTTGCTTTAAAACACGCCAGAAATTCAGTCGTAGAATGTAAACATTTTCTGGGGGAGGACCCCCAGACCCCCTTTTTCTCCCGAAACTTAATATGAGAGTGCCAATCAATCACAAAAAGCTTTATTATTATTATTACATGTATAATCCCCCAACATCCCCCCCCCCCAAACGTCAGATGCTTTGCTAGGTCCCTGATGGTTGTATTCGAAACCGATTTCAGTTTCAAGATATCCTTAGTCTGCTCTTCTATAAATGGATACATGAAATCACCTATAGCTCACTTAAATTTTTTTGGCACCAATCTAAAATGTTTTTTTTTAAAGGGTGCCATTTAATCTGGCGCTAGTGAGGTGAAAGAAGCAGTAGGTCGGTATTTTAGTTGAGGAGAAGTACATGCTTGAGTATATCAGACATTTTGAGGAGCTGCAAATTGTATATATGATGCCTACGATAAGAGAGAATTCCGGATTGTACTGCTTCGATTCCGAATTCTGGAGGGGGGGCATTGAAAATTTTAGAAACTTGGAGGGGGGCATCGGAAATTTACCAATAATCTCAACAGGGGCCCTGTAAAAATATGAGCTTTTTTTCAAGACATATCCATCTGCCCCCCCCCCCCTCGCCATAATAAATGTAATTTCCCTAAACAGTGATCATGTATATATATTGTAGTATAAACTTGATATATGTACAATAAAGTATTCTAAACCAGAATGCGGTGCACCACACACGTCGATTGGACAACTAGTAGCTTAAGAAAAGTTTTCCCGTAATACCATAACGCAATGGCACGTTTTTGACCAAATTTTTTTAAAAAAAACATCGAAATCTCTAAACAAGAAGGGCACCTTTGATGTTAATTTAGTATTTACAGAGACATTAGCTTGTACAAAAAGGGCACTTTTCATCACAAAAAGGGACACTTTTCGTCCTTTGAAACAATTTGGGAGGGAGGGCACGCGCTCCCTCTGCCCCCCTCTTCCTACGCCCCTGATTCTAAGACCACTTGATCCCGAGATTGAAGGCTTTATGTAGATGAACATTTCGAGTGGAAGATTCATATATATTTAATTTAGACCTATAACCAGCTGCGGAAAATAGAACTATAGCAGGAATCGAACCTACGGCCCCGCAATTCCGTTGCAGTGCTCTAACCAACTGAGTTATAGAGTTCAGTTGTCGAGCTCCAACCACAAGTTCTTGTTTATATAACAGTATATATATAGTACAGGTGATGCCATTATATAAAATATGAACAGATTGAAAGATTTATGTAGGATGGAAATTTCAAGCACAAATTTCAAGAAAAATCCCAAGCGCAAATTGAGATTTACAGTGTCATATTCCCAAAAATCTCTATATTTAGCCACAGGTTCGATTCCTGTCATATGACAGCATTTTCGCAGCTGCTCCTGTAGTTAAGTCTGCAGTTATAAGTCTAAAATTGTATATATTGAATCTTTCGTTATAAATTTCCATCTACTGCATGCAGGATCGCCGGGAGAGAGGCAGAGGGGAACTTTATCTCGGGCGGGGCTCGCAGAACAAGGGACCCTTAAAATTTATTGATGCAAGATTGACGAACTCAGAATATAAATCCCAGGACCCAGATGAATAATACATCTAAAAATCTCAAAAAATTAAGGAAATTGTCGGCAAGAAATAAACGATTTTATGTCCGCAAAATTTTTTCCGGCACGAAATGAACCATTTGTCCGGCGCCATATGTCGTGAAAATTTTTTGATCAAGATTATACGTATAGTGTAATTTGCAGCATGAGTTCCACATTTGAATTTACTATACGAGTAAATTGTTAAACGCGTCCGAATCTATCAACATGATAAATGCCAAATTCGCGGCACCTTACCCTTAACCTTAATTTTGTGTTACACAGCCTCGATCATGTTATATATACCCACTAGAGAGGTTAAGATACCCCGGTTTCGGTGTACGGGTACGAGTAGTGTCATCTTGTTTTACTGATGTCTGTAATTCGATCATACTTTTTCTGTTTTCTTGCAATTGACAATGACATAATGCGAAAACTGTGCACCTTAATTACGAGTAAAGGTAGAGACATCGACGAAAATATTGCTAACCAAAATCATGCTACCCGTACACGTACACCGAAACCGGGGTATCTTAACCTCTCTATTATCAGTAACCTTGCCCGCTCATTCAAGTGCTACAGTATGTATATCTATACTGAAAAAAAATCAATCCAAAAATAAAAAAATACAAAAATAAAAAAATAAACAAATACAAAAATCAAAAAATACAAAAATTAAAAAATAAAAAAATACAAAAATCAAAAAATCAAAAAATCATGAAATACAAAAATCAAAAAATCAAAAATCAAAAAATCAAAAAATCAAAAAATACAAAAATCAAAAAGTCTAAAAATACAAAAACTGTTTTTTTGCTGTCGCGTCTGGGCAGCCGTAGTATCGTTTGTAGATTTAAGTTGCATTTGTTGAGTGGTTTAAATTTTATTTATGTGATTAACTATAACAAATTAATTCCGTATTCTTGAATTTCAATCATGTGATGTCTTGGTAAATTAAATTTGACGGGGGGGGGGGGGGGGG